TTACTAGAATCCCACCACTCCACCACAGAGTCACCGCAGTAGACGTGAGATGAGCGCTGTCGCTCCGCGGCACTTGTTTTAAAGAATATGTTTGCACTTGTGCGTGCGTGCATGCGTGAATTATTTGGTTGAGGAAAATAATGCATTGTAATTGGTACAGGGCATGACATGTGCCAAAAATTAGGGTACGTACCATGAATTAAAAACCAATGTTGCCCACCAAAAATCAACGTTGCTCGATTCATTGTTGTAGATTAGACAACATAATTTACGTGAAGAAAACTATTTAGAGAGTTAACAGCAAGTCTCACCAGCGTCGGGTACAATTTCTTCCCAGATGTAGTCAGCAATGTTAATGGGCAGACTGAGCCACTCGTGGTTCTGTAGCTCTGGCATTTTGCACCGACACGGCACTGAGGGATGCAGCAGCCACGAGATGAGCTGCATCAAACCTGTGTAGCATAGTGTACATCAAAATATCAACCATGCTCAAACTGCGCGACCACAGCATCATGCACCAAATGGACGTTTATGGGGAGGGGGTATTCAAGGGGTGGGGGTGAAGCAGTGTGGATGCAGGTCTAAATAATACATGACAAAAAACTGACATTTGGAAAAGTCTTTTAGAAAAGGTTTAGTAACGTTGATAATTTATTTCAATAATTATTTTACCTTACAACGTCTTATATTTATGAGACAATTCAAATATTGCTGAAAAAATGAATATTGTATCTTTCTTTTTGCATTCCTCTATAATTAAATTGCCTATACAATTAGAGTCAGCTCTTGTTGCCTTGGGTATTAATATACAAACAAGGCACCTAGCTAGCATGACTATCTTCACTAGATTAAGTACAGTAGTAGTAGATTCAGTAGGTTCAATCCCTTTGCAATTGCTCCATGAACACAACCACATATCTTGTACAGTTGGCCGCATTTTGGCAGGCAACACTGCTTCAGTTCCCATGGTGGGTGCTACTTCTTTTTTCTTAAAATTGTCACAATAACCATTTTAAAGTCGGTTTGATGCCAACACATGTTAACTGGACGGTACAAGGCATTCCACGTGCCAATACACTACCATTAAATGCTAATTAATTTGTACCTGTTGAAACTACAAATGGAGGTTTCAGAATTCCTTTTATCGTTTCCTCGACATCATAAAACGGATTCTCGCCAAACAGCAGCGTATAAAGTGTAATTCCCAACGACCACATCTCTAATTCAGGTCCATTGTACCTGAAAAATTTATTATCAATGACTCGCCATCGAATGTTCTATAGTGTTTAAAACATTGAGATATTGCGATGAACTTATAAGTTTGCTGGTCATGGTTGGGATTTAACAAACATATTATTCCCATTTTAAACCTAGGCATATATCTATTTTCCCACATACGTGATTATAATAACTTTATCCCTTTACAACATTTACTAGTAAATTAATATGAATGTACATACTTGTTGCCAAGAATTACTTCAGGGCTGCAGTATTCAATAGTGCCAAAGAATTTGTTAAACAGTTTCCCTGGCTTTAGGTAGGCAGCAGCTCCGAAATCAATCAACTTGCAATGGAATTCTTCATTCAGTATGATGTTTTCATCCTTGATATCACGATGTATAATTCCCAAGTTATGCAGGTATGCCACAGCAGATACAATCTGTTTAAATCAAGAAAAAATTGTTGCATATTTATGTCATCATTTTCACGAGTACTATAATGACAGTGATGCCAGCAGAACTGATTAACTAAAGCTAATAAACTTTGATAATAATTTTGTTTGATGACACGATTTAAGTGGGAAGGCACGTTTAAATGTATATACAACTTAGTGGTGTGTTAGGAGCCTTTAAAAAGAACTATAACCAGTATCAACAAGATATACTAATAACAGAAATTTTTGGTCATGATTAACGAGTTGACATGTATATGATTTTATTCAACCAATTATTCATTCATTCAGTGGAATGACGAAACTTATTGATTAACCAATATCAACAATTGAAATGAATTAAAAATAATTTCAACAAATATTTCCATGTTTAAATGCGGCGAGCAATATTTAAGATTGCACAGATCACCAAGCACTTAATGCTTTAGGTAATTTGTCTATATTAGCTGACCTGTTGGAATATGTAGCTACATATAGGTTCATCTAGTAGTGGTCGTCGGTCAATGAACTCAAACAGATCCATGCCTAAACCATGCTGCTCCATAATTACTTGATAGAAGTAATCATTCTCAAACACTTCTAACATCTGTTGTAAAAACATAAGAACCAATCATATGAAACAACAAATCAGTAAAAGAAACGTGACCTATTACAGAAATACTAGATGCAAAAGACCTTAAATAATGAGCATCAATTTCATTCGAATAAGGACTATCTCATACAGACATGACACAAGAGAACATAAATCACATACATATAGGTGTCACATTTTCATTTGAATATAATTCACTCTCATTTCTACTAATCACAAGTTGCAATTATAGGGGGAAAACATGGTTGTATTTCTCACGTTTAATACATATTACATTATACATTTTACCTGAACAATGTTTGGATGTGATAATAAATTGAGCAAACTAATCTCAATTGGTACTCTGCCAAGTTCCTCGTCATCCAGCCACGAATCACTAAGAACCTTCCTCTTGGTAATGAACTTTGTAACCACCTGTAATAGTCCAATATCATCGAAGGTGGCACCTGCCTATAGGGAGCACTGAAATAAAGGATCTCTAAACACATAAACTCAACAGATGTCAAATTATTTATTTAACTATATCAACGGCTAATAATATAAGCTAAATAAATTAAAAATAAAGCTAAGGCTAATAATAATTAGCTCTTGATTATATGGTCATCCTGTTGGTGGTTGGACCACTACAAATAATGCGTTTTATGACGTGGGAGTCAAATATTATCAGTGTACATCAATAACCTAGTCAGCAACATTAATTTGCTTGTCTTTATATTATTAGTTATTATTATCAGTAATGGTACATCACTGGCGAACAACAGTTTCTCTCTTTAGATGAGAGGAATATAGTGAGTAACTAACCGCTGTGTGTCACGCACCATTTGATTATCACTTAGTCTTCGTGCCAGCTGTACAAATCCAAAGCCGCCCTTGCCTATAGAATAAATGCTCTCATACAGCTCGCCGTAGCGGCCTGTACCAGGATTCACGGCTTCAACATCAGTGTCAACTTTCGTTGTTCCCTATTGGATAAAATTATCACTACAGCTCGCCTTGTGCGTGTAGTATAGAGAAGTAGTACATAACTGAATAGGGTTCGACATTACGCAATGCTACTACGTCAGTTTACATTAATGTACAATCCTTGTAAATTCATTTTATTTCCTGGCTTCATGTCGTTGCATTATACACCTGAGATATACCTCTTGACATCCATACAGCTTCGACCAGTCCATCGTGTTGTTATGACTGCTACAACCTGTGGTATTTGATTGAGCCAGGGTATCTGAAGGGTCACGGGTAACCCATATGCAGTAAATTGACTGCCCCTGCTCAAACTCCACCCTCTTAACCTGATAAAGTATGCCTGAAACATGAAGACACGTCAGTCTGCAATTATCGAAAATTCTCAACTATATAAAAGAAAAGACAGAGCTCAAACCACTGAAGCAATTTTCCACAATGACATTTGCACCAAAACACCTGTGTTCTGTCGATCTCTAACGATAGGCAAGGTTCCTGGAAGAATGTCACTCCAGTTAAACACTCCCATGCATACTGCTCCAAACGAAGAGTCACTTTGCACCAGTCATTGGGTGCCTGTACACAAACTAACCTTGGTGCAACCATATGACTAGGCTGTAAATGTTGCACACTGCATGGGTGTAGCAAGTTGATAAATGAAATCCACATGAAGTACTGCAAACATTTTACTTCGGGGTTCTTTTAAAATTTTACTGTGCAGCGATTGGTTACTCAGAGTGACGCACAGTCAGTTTCACCACAAAGAAATAATGTGATGACTCATCATGTTGAAATTCTTCATAAAGTACAGTGATATACTATTATATTACATCTTGGAATACATTCCTCAGATTCGATGATGATATCAAGAGTAGCTTTGTGTCATGAGAACTCCAATAATGGACAACTGTCTAAAACCAATTGGTCTACATGTATTTGTCAAGTTGAATGAACTTGATTAGACATTTTAGTACATAGAGCCAGAACTGAATTAGCCCGTGTGGGTGTGGCTTTCGGGTATTGTGGGCATGGGCGGCACTGGGCATTAGGAGATTGTCGTAGACATTGCATGATCAGCTAGTATGCCCAGTGTATTATAATTGCACGTTACCATTTGTAATGCATTGATGCCTGCGTATACCAAACTGACCTTAGAAGTGACAACAGTTTGCACTCGTGCACTCCAACACAGAAGATCTACACAAGTTAGCCATTATAGACCATATGGTCAACCATAAATCATGTTCCTGACTGGTCTGTGGGTGACTCTGAACAACTTCAAGTGAGGCTCTCTTTGGGATAGATAAACAAGAGCGTGCACCTAAATTCTTAAATGTGCACAGACAGCAAGAATAGGGATGATGTGTCACACAAACTATACCGTATCCACGACAACCTTCCCAAGCCCACGATCCGTCGACCAGACCCAAAGGCTCCCTACTGACACAAGCTGATCAGTCGTTGGCTATTTACAACTACTGTTATCTAGTGATAAGCACAGCAACTTCCATTAGTTTGACAAAGACAGCTAGCTAGACCAGTTCTCAAAACTGTTGCTATAGCTGGTTAATGAACTTGCATTTAACATAAAATAAAATTACTCATAATGTGTATGCAACGATTACGAGATTAACTGGAAATGGCATGCAAATAAATTTAATTGTACAGTCAACGTATTCATGAAAACCTCATATGTTTACGGCTCACGCAGTGTACTCACTCACCTATGTAAGAGCCATCCTTATGCCGGCCCTGTCCAGAGCAGCTCCCTTCGTATACGACATTATCAGCGCCCTCTGCTGGCTTCTCTAACGTTGATGGCGGCAATCGATCGCCGTTTGCGTCCACCTTCGATGGCGTCGACGTCGCTTGCAGCGCTGGCGCCGCTGCAGCATGCCGACAGGCCACTGCCTGACGGAGGCGGCGGCCAGAAAATGTGTGCCTGCCACACGAGGACTTTCCCACGGTCCTCGGCCACTTCATAGGAGAGGTCTGTCTACGGGGTGATGGTTGGCTTTTGGTAGGAAGCCGACTAGCTGAGCTGGGTGGCGAAGATTGGTTGCTAAAAGGGAAATGACTATGGCAGGAGGGCTGACTGTCAGGGGAGAGCCACATGGTGGCAGAGGAATGGCTGTTGGCTGAGGTACCACTGGCCGGGTCAAGCATTCCAATCTCACTCGAGCGTTGTTCACACAGTTGACAAGTTGATCCTTTAATCTGTAAATCTACTGACGCATGCTCATGTGAAGCCTCTGTATTGGTGATGGCGTCCACGGATCTGTGAATGACATTATATTATGATTACGCTTGTAGCTTCTCCTTTTAATGTTTATCAACACTTTTAATATGGGTAAAAGAGATATACATACACAAAATGAAATTTATGGGATGGGCAGCAACGGCAATTTGTTGCTGTGCATATCGTCCAATTTATCAGAAGTTTCCCATCAAGTAAGGAGAGCAGCCTCAGCATTTGCCATCAGTGCTATTGTGAAAGCCAAGTGCTGCTGGTTCATGTACAGAACATATTTACTTGTAATTAGTGTTGTCAATCGGTTGTAATTTCGTAACCGATCATCGGTTGGACCCAAGTAACCGATGATCGGTTACAATCGGTTACTCGGGGTGTTGAATGCCTGCGTGTGCGTAACGTCGTGTGCATGTACGTGTGTGCATGTATGTGCTTGTTTAGCCCTGTTTACTGTTTGTTTTGCACTGTTTACTACTGTGTGTATAGTACATGTATGTTAATAAAGGATAACTTGTATAGTAGCGATGTATAGTAGCGATTGTATAGTAGCGATCTCTGATTCTCATCACTTTCTTGTTTCTTGTTCAAGTTTTGCATTTATTTCGATATAAATTTTTTTTTCCGATGAAATCGATTATGAATTTTGATAACAAAGCGCTTGGTTCGAGCCACTGTTCAACCGATGATCGAGTATAATCGATGATCGTGACATCACTAAGCGCTTGGTTCGAGCCACTGTTCAACCGATGATCGAGTATAATCGATGATCTCACGTGACATCACTACTTATAATCAGTGCAATGTTTAAGTGTGCACAGCTCCGCATTTCACTCACTGAAATATATATGTATATATTAATAGTTACGCAGGATATGGGATTTACACAATCAGTAGTCTATATTAGACATGGCTGGAGGTTGCTGTGTAAATCGCCATAGTTTATAACTAGTGACAGAATAAATACCGAACCTGGCAGGAGATGACTCTGTACAACTATTAAAATATACACAATAAACAATCCTACAATAACCAAGAATTTGATGTATGCTAGCAATCCAATAAGTCGAGACGAATTGAACCATGAGCATGACAGAAAATGTGCCCACCTTGCACGTTCGACGTCGAGCACTTCAGGGGAAAAATCTGGCTGTGAGATGTCGTGTTGAGGACAATGGTGGCAGTCTCTTCCACACAACTCCATCTCATCGTCAACAGGTGGAAACGGTATGGAATTTACTTTTAGTGAAGCCATGTCATCATAGAAACCAGGAATGATGTACGTGATACGCTGAAGGATCAAAGAAGGTTGTACACGCACCAACCTTCATCTATATAGCCTAATACAGTACCTGATCTCATTTTTATTAGTTTTCACATATAATTTTTCTTCGAAATAAGACAAAGATAAAATGACTGAGATCGATTTATCAGCACACTTTGTACCAATTTTGAACAAGCCCCATGTAACTTACATCAAACAACATTTTGGGCACATTTCTACCTAATATCGAAAGATAAACACAGTACTAGTATGATACTATGTCAATATTCAAGCTTTGCTTGATGAGTGATGATAAAATTGCATATATCTATAGATATATCATCATTGTATTGACATATGGAGTTTGTTTTTGGATTTTTTGGTTACTATACCACAATACATCATAAATTTTTCCACCGAGCATTCCAACAGACCATGAGATTACATTTAATTTTTCACATACTAATTTTGTTTATTAGAGTTTGTAAGTACTGTGATTATTGATATCTTAAATTGATTGAATTAAATATTGTTTCATTGTGTTGATATAATTTTATGACAACAATTTAGTAGGTGGCAGTTTAGGCACTTAACTACCAGTAAATACAGGAGTAATAATATTTGTTTCTTTAAATCCAAAGAATCAATAAAGCCTGTAAGTGTTATTCCAGTTTGATATCTAAAAGCATGTGTTACAGACATATTAGCTAGCACGTCAACTAACATCAATACTGATAGATCCACTATATGACCATTGCCTCAGTAAACAGAACTAGCCAGCACACCTGTCTACAACATTGAGAAAAACAACGTCATGCTGTGCCATCAGAAGTGAAGGTAAAATTGTACGTTTTTTTGCTGAAGGTGAAAGTGGAGCACCACGTAAACATTTGCATCTGAACATCTTCGTTCAGTTTTGATGCACGAGTGGTACAGACTAAAAGAAAGACACCATCAGAGCAATTTACATTTATGTATATATATATATATATAACATATACATATGTACAGACAGATAGATAAATAGATAGATAGATCGATTGATATATTTTGTACAATAAAATATATACTTGTTACATAAAGTTGGTTAACTGGTAACTTTCGTGCAAAACGTACGAAGATACAGATATACACATTTAATAAATGGCACATCTATCCTTGGCAAAATACAGAACAATTGATTTGTGAGAAGTTGGTTGTTCAGTAATAGTACCATAACTCACCTCTCCCACAAGTTCTTGCTGTGTGTAGCCGAACAGCATCAGAGAAAAGTTGTCATTGATGCTGTGTATGGTGCCATCAGGCATGAACGTAAGCATGCCACTGATGTTGGTGAACACCCACACCGTGGCATGGTACACTTCCACTTTTCCCTCTTCCTTGTTAAATTCTTCGTTGGCTCCATCCTTTTCTTAAGCACGAATGCAAGAAGAGACATAATTGAACATCAATGACACTTCAACAGTCATATTTGGTTTCCTTAAGGCAGCAAGCATGACAACATAACATTGCTAGTTCAGAAATCAGATTGGGATTGTCTTTATAATTTAACGCTGTATGGCTATATTTAGTGTATATAAACCGTGAAAGAGGCACCCTGATAGCTGTCACACAAAATCGTTTGCTTGATCAGTTTGAATATATGTACTATTTGGTGACATATTAAATGAGAGAGCAAATGAAAAAACGTTAAATAATATGGAAATGGTGGCAAGTGCGACAGTAGATACCTCGAATAAGTTGAACTCTGTCAACACTGCCTGTGCTTGAAATTGAGCTTTGTCGCATCAACTCTACGGAATAAGTCAATGGTGAGATGGTTTTACAGCTCTCAGCACTCAGAATAGTGACGTTACACATTTACATGATGAATCCGCAACTATAATGCATAGCCAGCTGCTACTACTGCTCAACTCATAAATGAGACTGCTTACAGTGAAGCCAGATAATATGCTTTCAGCTGTGCACAATGAAGCACAGATTTCGCTACTCGCCAACATGTATCAGTGCTTATAGTCTCCCTGCTCTCATTATCGCGCATATAGTAAAGTGCACGTGTAACGAATAGATTAGGGTAGACTTGTGGGCTTGTCTGCTGAATTCTCTCAGCTTAGTGCAACCCGGAAAAATTAAATGCAAACATAAAGCCAATATATTTGAAAAAAAATGTAGAGGCAAACATATGCAGAGATGTTAGGGCGATGAGTTTAGAAATAGACAATACAGCATGTCTACACGCTATGCGCCTCAAGCACGGCTTACGGAAACACATGAATTATGAAGTAATAGACGGTGGTGTTATGTATACACTGAATACCCTGTGACAACAATGGCTTACCGCTAATGCTTGTAGTGCTTGTGGTGGAGTTTTGTCTATCGCAGCGAGAATTTGCTGAATCTGAAACAAAGAAGAATGACGCACAGCATGATGACACGCACACAATTTCTCGCCGCAGTAAGTATAGCACTGAGAACTCATACTAGCTAAGGTCAAAACAAAATATAGGTGTGGTTACGGTTTCCCGACCGACCCTATTTATTCCCAGCGACCCTAAACATTTTATTCAGTTTTAAAAATTAAAAAAAAATATTTAATTTAACATTTTTTCAGTTCCTGCTTCAAAAGGCACAACGCTCATCCTTCGGACATGGTTCGTAAATAAAATATTTCAAGAAAATAAAATGTTTTCCCTACCTACCTACCATATTTTTTTCCGGCATGTAACGGTAACCACACATATTTTGTTTTGGCCTAACGTAACCAATGTAATACAGTAATTGCTTCAGATCTATGGATACATTACACATTTAGTGAGCAGCTGCATTTTACAAAAGGCTGTACCTGACAAAGAGTTAGAGGTATACGATTACAATAGCCAAGAGAGCAGAAGTGTGAACAATGAGTTTCCTATTTCCTTGTCAATATTCCCAATACAGCTGACAAAAGAAGAAGCTGATTAACTCTACCTTTGTTCTCGTTCAGTGGCTGTATCTTATTACTACTTAGCTCATTAGAACCGTTTCATATGCATCAATTAAATATTTTGCTATGGTCAGAATAACATTCATACCAACAGATCCTTCTTTGATGTATGATGCAAACTTTGGGTTTTTTAAATCCTCATCTGTCCAAAGTGCAATCGACAATGGGAACGTGGTGCTGTGTTTAGTTCGTCCTGTAGCTCTCTGCTTTCTAATTGCCTACAATCATAATGTATCAAACTAATTTGTATGTGTGTGTCTATATAGTGATACATATTTATATAATGCGATGTATAGATTAGCGCTCACCTCTATAGAACGAACATCTGTCTGTATAGGTAATGTAATTTTAACGTTTCCCTTGGGTATCACTTATACATTGAAACTAAATCTATAAAGAGGCGACCTGTCTATAAAGGAAAACCTTTGGCATTTCCTTTGAGTAACCCCAGTTTAACTGTACCTGTGTGTGCGCGTGTGCGTGAGTGTGTGTGTATGTGTGTCTGTGTATGCGTGTGTGTGTGTGTGTGTGTGTGTGTGCGCGTGTGCGTGTGTGTGCATTTGCATGTGCGTGCGTTTGCGTGTGTGCGTGTGTACGTGCGTGTGCGTGCGTGCGTGTGTGCGTGTGTGTGCGTGCGTGTGTGTGCGTGCGTGCGTGCGTGTGTGTGTGTGTGTGTGTGCTCGTGCGTGTATGCGGTGTGCGTGTGTGTGCTCGTGCGTGTATGCGGTGCGCGTGTGTGTGTAAGCGTGCGTGTGCTCGTGCGTGTATGCGGTGCATGTGTTATGATATGGGTGCATGTTAGGGGTGAGACGATTCATCGATATATTGATGTATCGCGATGCAAACATTGACGAAACACGTTCGATACGTTTGACCATTCAAGATACACGTATCGATACCCTACTGACTAAAATCCATTAGTATTATTAGTATTTTATTAGTATTTACTGTTATTAATAGCATAGTCTCACCAAAAAACAAAAGAAACATAATACAGTTTGCAATTTTATAGCAGTTGTTCACTAAGTACATCATGATACTGATTTGTAAGAATTGACATGATTAGTATCCCGGTTGAGCGTTGTAGTGTTCGCTAGGTAGTTTCTTTTGAAAGTATCACAATACGTATCATATCGTGACAGAGGTATCGTGATACGGATTGTATTGTGAGCTACCTGTATCGTCCCACTCTTAGTGCGTGTGTCATATGGGCGCGTGCAGTGTGATATTGGCGCGTACGTGTGCATGGGTGCATGCGTGCATGCATGGGAGCAACTGAGTGTGTATTATCGACCTTTGGTATGGAGGATCCTGAACTTGGCATGGTGAGTGACGGAATTAGTTGATGGATATTTTCGCCTTCTACTTCAGAAGGTGAGGTGTAACCATGCAGACATGCCATCTTCTGGTCGGCACACAAGATTGTGCCCTGCAAAGTAAGTCATTGGAAAATGCAAGCACTTGCGCACCCCTGATAGTGACTGATATCCCTGGCAATTTATACACGTATGACGTTACTGCTGGAGCTTTGAAAGCTGGAATACTTAGAGAGTCAAATTAGAGAAAGTGTGATGAAACATAGGCAAGACGATCATGCCCACGCCAGTCCCACGTATTGCACTGTCAAATTCATTGACATTAATCAATTAATTTAAATTGAAGTTAGCATCAACAGCTGAATATTACAAAAGAATAGTTTCGTTGATTGTGTTGATTTGTCAAATCTGATTTGTGAGTCTATCAAGTTGTGTGCAGAACTCAAACTTTATAAATGTTAAACAATAAATTCACACTGATATTTCTGAGCCAAGGAATCGTCACAGCAGTTTATTGATTATCCACCAATCAACAGACTCGAACCAATCTGTACTACAATCTGTAAAAACCCTACATGAGCTTTAAGGGAGAAACAGTGCAGCAACCAGTGATGCACTCACCGTGCTGTCGAATACGATATAGGCAGTTATTCGCTCTACAGGCTCCATTATAGCAAGACAGCGTGGATCATCTCCCGTCTTAAGCATCTTCATCCACAGCGAGACGGGGATTACTTGCCCATTGCAGTCAACTGCCTCTAGCTGTAAACACGCACGCACGTGAAAACACACACATGCACGCACGCAAGCACACACACACGCACGCACGCACGCACGCACGCACGCACGCACGCACGCGCACGCACGCACGCACACAGAGAGAGAGAGACACATACACACACACACGCACACACACGCGCACAAGCACACACGCACACAGTATTCAAATAATGGAATCAAAATCTTAAAAATAGCTATCATTATGTACCGATTTCATCACCATAGTCGTTACATGGTCTTACAGCTAGTGAGAACACTGTAATTTTACTGGTAGACTAATCAGAATCAATCCAGAGAGACATGATACAAGATTGCGTGGCACAGCTTTGCTGTTGATCCTAAGCACTGCGCGCGGATGAGACGTGCAGTTCCGCGGGATATGCGCACGCGACAGCGGGGATGAGTATGAAGTATGAAGCGCTATCCGCAGTGGAGACGTGCGCCAAATTCGGGGCCCGGCGCACGTCTCCACAGCGGTCAGCGGATGGTCTGTAGTTTTAGAAGATGACAATGATTATATATGGACGATATTCTAGGAATTGGAGATTATAAAACAGTAACAAAATCGCTCAGTCATGCTCCAGATTAGCTGAATCAAAAAGATTAGAATTTAATATGAACAAAACAAATACAATGTTATAAAATTCACCAACAAAGAAAGAATAGAGAAGGAGATATTAATAGGCAACCAAGTAATCAAAAAATGCACCAAATATTCATACCTAGGGGATTTAATTAATGATATGATAAGAGTCCGAACTGAAAAATGTAGGTTCATGATGAGGGAAATATTATCATGGACAGAAGAGCAAAATTATGGAAATCATACTATAGAAGCAAGAGTGAAATTATACGAATGCACAGTTTTACCTTCCTTCCTAAATATCAGTGAAACATGGACTTAATGGAAGAAATAAAAATCTTGGAGGATTTAGAAAATGAGTGCCTGCGCAAAATAATAATCACGCAGAAAACGCAGAAAATGCATCGCATCAGCCCAAAGTTCTCCACGACAGATGGCGCTCTCGCTCATGGGCTCAATCTACGAGTATCCTGAGTGTACGAAGGTGCACTGCATGCAGTTTGGCATCGGCCTAGACTGGTACCCGGTTGATAGTTCCACATGCTACACTAACAGCGTCAGTGTAGCGAAGGATACTTGCCGGAGTGAAGGTGGCGAACGGGTACCAGTCTAGCATCGGCCGGGCATTTCATTATTTACGAAAAGTAAACACAGTCGGTATAGGAACTGGTCACGTCGGTGACGCCCCATTCATGCCCATCAACGAAGAAGGCGGGGCTTATTCTAATTACGGAGATGCGAAAATGCAACAGAAGTACGTAGCGCAGTGCGCTAAACGGCGTGTTATTTTCGTTGCTGTGCCAAACTCTATCGTAGGAAACCGTTCTAGCCTAGCAGAATGCCCTAGTTCCTGAGATCGGCGATTTGGTACTGTGATGGGTCCCCACCTATAAAAATTTCAAAGGGAGGTGCGGCGTAGGCTGTGATTGGAGGACACAAAGTGTCAATCCTCGGCTCGCCTCGGCATCATGGCCGCATCACGTCAAGACCTCATGACTGGGTATGGGTACATGTATTATATGTTGGCTTTCTGTGCAGCAGAGAAACGTTTATACCACACACCCACCAGCTCGCCCTACAAATACTTACAACTTTGCCAGAGACCATGACGACTTCACCCGTCGACTCGAGGTGGTTCTCCATAAGAGCCTCATGCTTCTGCTTGCATTTGAAGTGATCCGACAGTGGCATTCCAATGAGCTCGTCCTTGTAGTAGCCAAACAGCTCACATGCCATCTCGTTGGCTATGAGGATCTGTAGCGCAAGAGCATGCATGTGTGCATACGACGTACTACACACAAATATATTACATACTGGGTAGATACCTACGCGCGCGCACGCATGCACGCACGCACGCACGCCACGCACGCACGCACGCACGCACGCACGCACGCACACACACACACATATATATATATATAGAGAGAGAGATTGACTTCCAATATATAACTGGAGATGCATTCTTACAGAACATTATTCAGGTAAAAGCACTACTAGGAAAAGTATGAATATTACAAGTAAACATTTCTAACGCTCATATTAATTACAAGTTTAATGACGTAACACAGTATCAAGATAATACTGGGAGGGAAAGGGAATTGAGAATTAGATTCGCTGGGAGGAAGAGGGACCGGCACTCTTACTAGCTATGTCTCCTTTGTTATCACTTAGATTGTCGAATCTGGCTGTGGCCAGCTCTAAAGCAAATACTCTTGGCTTTGTACGACGAAATCTATCTAAAGCTTCCCCTACAGTTAAGGAATTGGCATACACATCACTAGTAAGGCCACACCTTGAGTATGCTAGCTCAGTGTGGGACCCCTACAGAGCCAACCTTATCAATCAAATTGAGAAAGTACAGCGAAGAGCAGCACGTTTTGTAAAGAAGGACTATAGTACTTATAGCAGAGTAACTAAGATGCTGCAGGAACAACTAAACAACTAAAAGGCTAACAATATTTTTCAATGCTATAAGAGTAGAGAAATAGCACTACCCCTTCCTAATTATCTGTAGCCTGTAACACGCAATAGTAGAGGGCATGATCAAAAGTACATGTAAATATACACCCGGGTAGACACCTACAAATATAGCTACTTCCCCAGAACTGTTCAAGAATGGAACTCCTTAATTAACTCAATCTATAGTCTCTTCACCATCATCAACATATTTCACAGAAACGGTAAACAATTTGATAACTGCTTCCACCATTGGAAGCATAAATTAACCTTAATTTAAAACTAACAATTTGTTTTCTGTTAAACTCGTTTATGAATATTGTGCTGGTCAGACGACCCCTGCGTGTCATGCACTAACAGACCTTGCGCAGTATTCTTATAGATAGATAGATAGCTCTGACCTTTCCTATGTCCTTTGCCCCACTGCCATTTGACATGTGCCCTCAAATTTTGCGAAGGGGATAGCTCCTTTCACCATGATTACGTCTGCCAAATATCCAGAGCATAGGTCAAGCCGTTGACACTTGTGCGGCAATCTGCGTTTTCTCAATGCTGGTCCTATATACCTTAAGTTATAGGGGGAAATATTCCCATTTCTTTTACATCTCTTGATCACCATTGACCCTTGCTCCCCAGATTCGACTGCCCCGTCTCGATTCGAATTACCCCTAAAGTCCTGAATGTCGACACCGTACATCAAGCTGCTTGGTGCATATTATAAAGTTTTTCCATCGTAGGTCCTGCCATTCAATTGCACCTTATAGTATTTCCCATCCTATGTCAAGCCGTTCATATATGCATATATTACAAAGTTTATCATGTTAAGCCGTTCAGTTACATATTATAAAGCTTTTTCCATCCTAGGTCAAGACGTTTAGATTCATATTATATACAGTTTTTCCATCCTTGGTCAAGCCGTTTAGATTCATATTATATACAGTTTTTCCATCCTTGGTCAAGCTGTTAAGATGCATATTATAAAGTTTTCTAATCATCGTTTAGATACGTATTATAAAGTTTTCCCATCCCAAGTCAAGCCGTTTAGATTTACTTTTAGAGCTAATCAGATGCAGCTATTGTTGACGCCTCATGGATGAAAAGATGGATGGACAGACACATGCACGCACGCCAGCAGCACTGCGCAAACTCATTCTGAGCGATAGTTGGAATGAGTTAAAAATTGACCGTCTGTAAATCGGTACACACACACACACACACACACACACACACACACGCACTCACCCATGCACGCACGCACAAGCGCGCGCGCACGCACGCACGCACGTACGCACACATGCACCCAAAAACCCACCCATGCACGCACGCACGCACACACGATCATGGCATACAGACATGACATCACACACACGCACGCACGCACGCACGCACGCACGCACGCACGCACGCACGCACGCACGCACACACACACAGAGACATGACGTGACACACACAGACACACCGTGACACACACCAGCATGCCGTGACACACACAGACATGCCGTGACACACACCAACATGCCGTGACACGCACCAACATGCCGTGACACACACAGACATGCCGTGACACACACAGACACACCGTGATACACACAGACATGCTGTGACACACACAGACACCCCGTGACACACACCAACATGCCGTGACACACACCAACATGCCGTGACACACACCAACATGCCGTGACACACACAGACATGCCGTGACACACACAGACACACCGTGACACACACAGACATGCCGTGACACACACAGACACACCGTGACACACACAGACACACCGTGACACACACACACATGGCATGACACACACAGACACACTGTGACACACACAGACATGGCATGACACACACAGACATGGCATGACACACACAGACACACCGTGACACACATAGACACACCGTGACACACACAGACACACCGTGACACACACAGACATGGCATGACACACACAGACATGCCGTGACACACACAGATACACCGTGACACACATAGACACACCGTGACACACACAGACATGACTTGACACACATAGACACGCCATGACACACACCAACATGCCGTGACACACACTCACACACGCCGTGACACGCACGCACACAGACAGAACATCACCTCCGACGTCCGCCCGTTCAGCGTCACGACGGCCTTGTTAGGATTGCGGATGTGGCTGGGAACGGAGCCGGTTGCCTTTGTTCCACCAACAAACTCAAAGAAGTCCCAGCTATGGCCGAATGAGCGAATGCAGGTGCTCCTCTGTCTCTCCAGAGATGCATGCAGTGATGTCTTGCAAGGTGGAGGTGAGAAACAGAAGCTGTTGAGAGCATCGCCTGTGTGTGGAAGCAGAAGCGACAGTGAGAGCGCCCGTGGTACGCGATGCATGAGATACCTTAACAATACAGGGTTAGCAACATACTGGTATACTACTAAATACTTGTATACTACTAAATACTTGTATACTACTACTACATACTAACAGTAATACCATGAATATATCTACACTACTGCACATGCCTATATATTATATAGATGTGTGTGGCAGTAAGGAGCCACTTTTTTTATTAAATTCCGGATCAGTACCAGCTAGATCATCTATATCTACGAGGAACAGCTAATGCGAATAGGAATTACTACACATTTTGCGTTGTTTACAACCGCTAACAGAGCACGCATACCGGACGCTCACTTCTGCACTTGCACACACTATCACGTGTTTACCTTCACGGAGAAATATTTAAGCACACGTAAACTACATTCACAGAAAATGGTTATTACATGGTTGATACAATTTTGCAGTGCACTGTAAACAATTATAAGCATTGCAGTTTTAGTTTTGACTGGCTATGAGAATCATTTTAATAGAGTCTGACAGTAGTGAATGTAGAGTTTCTAGGCAGCTCTTTGATGTTCACATGCCCGGTCCATATATTACTATTAGAGAACAAGATCAATGTTATCAAATAACATTTTTAACTAAACTGACATATTAGAATTTCGTTATAAAGCTATAACTGTTATTTGCAGGAAATGGTCAGGTGATGGATGTTCAAGTCCATGTGATGCTTTATCAGTCAAGCTTGACCAAAGCAGTACATGACATCGGTTGTGAGATAAGCGATGGTGAGATGTGAAAGAGGATGATAATAAGAAATACGCGTTAGAAGACGGGAGAAAGTCTTAGCTATGTAATTAAGTATATATTGAAGCTAATATACGTATATTATACGATACATAAGTCTATGTATATCTATCATCCACATGGCATAGCACACGACGCTAAGTTTCGAGGAGTGCAAGCAATAGACCTAAATAGCATAGTAGGCGACAGAGGGGGAGTTGATAGATGGAGCGTTACGAGAAGAAAAAGCGGGGCAACAGCTAGTAGCTAAGGGAGCGGGAGAGTGCGTGTGCATCGCGGGTGAGTGTAGTGAGGCGTATCTTGAAGCGAGAGTAGTTTGCGCCAAGGAGCATTTACGGAGAGAGAGACGAACAGTGCCTAAAGACAGGGAAAGTATGCGAAATGAGAGACATAGGCGGCGCGTGTAGGTTGAGATCGATAGCGAGAGAGTTGTGTGTGCGCGCGTGCGTGCGTACTTGGCGTGCGATGTGCGTGTGCGTTCGTGTGCGATCGGATGTGCGACATATTCTAACGGAGTGACAGAACAGTGTGGAAGTTGCGAGTAGCGGGCTGCCATATAGGCTAACTACGGCAAACTTGGCTCGCATTGCCGTTGCGGGAGTTGCTGAGTCATTGCTATCACTATCAGGATGCGGGCATCAGCAGGACGTTTATAGATTACGTGTCGGTCAATAGTAGTCGCACGTTGTAAATAATCGCTAAGCTTGTCTGTACAATACTTGTTTGCGCACTGAAGCCGCCCTGTACGTAAGCCATTAATCTGCACTACATCCCATAGTGTGCTTTATGGTTCCGGCGATGAAATTTACTCTTGGCCAGTACGTAAGCGAGTCATTCACGTTTCTCTTCCCTATTAGTGAATGAGTTATGAATTAGTAGGATTTCTGATCACATGCGTTACTCTAAAATTCGCTCTTGGTGAATGAGTTAGTAGAGATGTTAGTCAATCGTGTTTCTCTTATCTGTTGGCAAGTGAGTTTTATGAAGATATAGTCCCCTTTTTCCTTGTCCCTGTTGGTGAATGGATTAGTAGGAAGGAATTCTGCACACAAGTCTCACCCCACGGTTTAGTGGGCCACCACCAAACACCTTTCAGTAGATACAAATTAATATAAATAGAATAATACAACTTGCAATATACAATAATAGGATAGTAAATAGAGTATGAGGAACATGCTGTCCTACCCTGTCTCTACCCTCTACTCTGTGCGGTAACGTACATTAGTGTGTACTGGTATATCTAATCTTTCAGGAAGGGACGGGGTAATATTTATTGGGGAAGACCCCAAGGGGGAACATCGGCATCAAGAGAACGTAATGCGAGGTCACCCGACAGTTCACCACTGTGCCAGTTACATCCAGTGTAGCAGAGTATGCATGCCCAGGGTCTTCCCGCAGGAACTTCATAAACTATAATTAGTATTCATTCATAAGTAATGAAAGAACTCAGACAAACTCTTGCGTTGAGGGTCAGCCGCCGCAATCGCCCTGTTTCCGCAGCCAGGTATTATACACGTTATTACACGTCATGAAGCATTCAGAGTAGGGTTCTCCCTATAGGTATTTCAGATGGCATGTTGGCCAATCGGGCAAATAATCTCCGATTGCTAATTGGATTCAATTATATGTCATTGTGTTGCGAGTGGCCACAATACGCAGGTTAACTCGATCAGCTTACGTATAAACCAAGCTGTTCAAAAACAGCTTTTAAAAACGTTATTAACTGTGTTGGGATAGTCAAAAGTAAACGCAGCTGAAAATTAGAGTATGTCGATTAAGCAATTAAGGCATGTCGGCCATAGTGGAGATGTATGCCACCAATAGATTATAATACATTATTAATATATATTAAAAAAATATAATAAAATGTGAATTATTAGCTCTTGATGTCATGCGTCACCGGGCAGAAGTCAAAAACGCTACAAATTGTGTGATTACAATCCTGCTTAAAAAACAAAGCGAGGCCGGGCTTGTCGATGGGCAGCACGAGTCACCATGCATCATGGCAGTGTCCAATATATCAGTTTATCTTCGATGTCTACTAATAAAAGTTAATGTTTTACGAGCTTTTAGGTTATCTTTTATGCAGTGCGTATTTGACTAATCACAACTTCAGGACTAATGCTTTTCTTAAATAAACCTTACAACGTCATTTCATATTCATAACATACTCATAATTAACCCCAGGAGATGCACCAACCATCCAGTAAACATCAATAATACCACATGTTATACCAACAGTAGTTGGCCATCGGCCAGTTAGCGTAAGTGTGCACACCTGCTGTCAACTGCCTGGAGAAATCAATTGATGTACCAAACAGTAATCATGTCAGAAGCAAGAGCAGAATATGTTGAGTAAGAGATCCAAATCTTTTACAGAGCGATCTGTATTACTTTATGTAATTACCTTTGATTTGTGCAACTTGTGGTGAACCATCAAAGTTTAAGACCCACTTTTTACAGTTGTTACGCTTTTTACACACCTGTACAGTTTTAATTGCAAGTTAATACTGCGACTCCTAGAATTGATGCTTCCCTGCTCCATTAATATTACTTGTATCAGACCATTTTACGTGTTAATTACGTACTTCTACATGGAGACGAGCAAATAGGAGCGATTATGTGAAAGGAGAAGTAGAAAATGGTATGGAATGAGAAAAGGAACGAGTTAACTAGGAGTTGAAAACAACGAATTTTTTGCCAGACTTCCTGATTTCGTACCAATCATTTCGGAGTCAATAATATATTACATATCTGATCATTTCAGCTATACATTCTACATCCATACTACTACAAGAACCAACTCTGTTTGTCTGTCTGTTTGTCTGTCTGTCTGAGTGTCTGTGTCTGCTATGTATTAATTCCGCCGTTTATTGGTTTAGGATGACCGAAATTGCCACACTGTAGTGTTAGTTGATCAGCATACAGTAGGAGCGCCTAAGCATTTTTTTCACACTCAGTAGTATTTAGTAGCCCATGCATGTGTATCAAAATAATCTGTGACAGTGTGCTATCAAAACAAGAACATACCATGGAATGGACATTGTACTATTTTGAAGTTGACATTATATAACATGGTAAAAAATACACGGGAGCGATGAGCGATTCGCTCTTCAAACCTCTGAAATCGCTCCCGTGAGGCTCAAAATAGCTCCCGTAAAATTTTCGACGAGAGCCATTTTTCCCACAGACTTGAAAAAAAAGCTCCCGTGAAAAACAAGTAATTTTTCCCCTGTTATATAATTACAGTTTTTATAACAATAGTCTTTTACAATATTGCACTACTATACTATACATTATTCAAGTAGCACTTCTTATTCTCTACCTTCTTCTGAAACATTTCAAAATCGAATTCTGGTCGCAGCTAGAAGCAACCCACGCATGCAGCGCCGGATCCCTCACTAGTAACTGAACCCAGATACATATTGAGCGCCCCTTAATTGAAACACCGAAAGTGTCTCAGATTGTGTAATTTTCCAGAATTTGTAATATCCATATAGCAGAAACCTATGTAATGTTGCAGCTTAGAGATATGACCCAGTAGATATGATACAGGTCTTAGGCAGGAAAATCATTTATATTTTTAGATACACTCATGATGAACCGATATATTATTATGCCTGCTGGGAGTTATATATAACAAATATTTTTTTTAATTTCGTGCATGAAATAATATGCATAATGCATATAACTAAGCGCACAGCATCCAAAAAATTGCGGATTTCGAAGCTTTTTGTATTTTGAAATATCGAATAAGGATTTCCCAACCTGTAGTTAACAAATTTTCCATCCCACGTAATTAAACAGTAGCAAACTAATGCGTACACCTCAGATTAATAATAAATGTGATTACGATTAGTGGCACACTGATATTGAAATGTCATGGTTTTACGTGGGAACTTACCAAAAATACTGAAAAACTGATACACATGAACACATGAGTACTGTTTTGAGGGGACTCAAGTCACACTCTGCAGTAATGTACAGTATTAAACATCATTCTGGCTGTTACTTTGGCTTGTGTCATCTTTTACTGTTCATCATTTAGTATTGGACCTCACACTATATGAATTCCCTCATCCGGCTGCAATCTCCCTGATTTTGAGGAGAAATAGTTCCAGGACTCCTGCTATCAGTGATTAATATGCACCATTATACATGTCTGTGGCTTCCTAAAGACCAATTAATGCCCGTTATAAAACATATAGTTTTAACATCTACTTTTTCTCATAGACCATTGACAGAAACTTGTTAGTTTTTCAGATGCAGTGTATAATGTATATAGAGGTCCGGTCTACAATAAAAAGCTAACGTTAAGACTGATGTTAAACGAGTTTGCTTCTGACAATCAGCCCCTGGGATGAAGAAGATTAACGTGCTCAGCATTCCTTTCAGTAACCTACCTTTGAACCTCCTGAGTGCGAGTTTGGTATCACCAGCCCCAGGATCAAATTCCACGCAAGGACTACTGCCCAGTTTTCTCATCGCAGGTAGTGACTGGTTGGCTTCGTATGGCTCTTCGATGGAGAGGCTTAAACCCAGCTGGGCGGCCCGCTCCCGCTTGCCTGACCGTATCCGGTCCAGCGGCGATGGGTAGGAGGGCGAGCCAATACTATCTGACATCATGAGCCAGTGTGGGTTTGTACGCTTGCGCCTGTCGCTAGGAGTCAGCTGCAAAAATAAATTACACGTTTCACAAGGGACCCGTTGTCAGCAACAGAATTAGCCTTAAAATAATTAAAATCTTTTTAAACGTTAGCATTAAAATTATTTCTCGTAGGTATACGAGCTCTATACGCTGCGTATGAGAATCTCCTAGCCATCATAAGCATGAATATATGAATATATATTATATATATATATATATATATGTGAATATATGAATATATATAGCAGAATCATGTTTCTGCCAACGGCCTATTAGAAAAAGTTAATGTTGAGACTATGTTAAGACTAATTTTGTTTCTGACTACCCCCCCCCCCGGTGTTTAAAGTCTAAACAATTCAAGTTTTATAGCTTCTAGGTTTCTCTTTATATAGTGCAATTTCTCGGCCATAACGTCGACTGAAAGACATTGCATATGAATATTAGTAACGACAGGAGTCTATCGATATTGATAGACTCCTGGTAACGATGCAATCGCACATCCAAGTGTGAATAGCATGGCAATGCCACTGTCCCAGTAGGTATGCATCAATGATCAATCAATGTTACGCTCAAACACTAACTACTATTTACGAACTGTACATGCTGAAATATTTACTACCAGAGCCTAAAACATATACTAGTTCACGGCAGTAGTATGCTTTAGTATTGATAACTACTGTGGCTAACATAGACTAGCAGTAGCAGTAGCTTTTTATTGTCAGTGGAAAAGAGGAAGGTTATCGCATTGCTGCTGTGACAGTAAGCCTATCGTTTGATTACTCCTTAGGCCTAAAAAAAAAGTTTGTTTCCGCTAACGAGCTGAAAAAAATTGGACACGGTAGGCAGGCAAAACTTTTTTTTATCAAATATTTTTCTTTTTTGTATTCTAACAATACTTGTTTTATACTTATAACAGCCCATATATAATGACTTCAAAGTCAAATCAATGCATTCACCGATCGATATAACGTTGGGATTTTTTTATTTTTTTAAATTATTTTTTAAATGTTTATTTTTATTTTTTTCTAATCACAATAAAAAGTTTTAACACGGCGGTTTAAAATGGACTCGGTCGGGTTAACGGAAACAAACGTCTTTTTTAGGCCTCATTCGAAATGGTCTGGGTCGAAAGTGTCTGAGAATTCAGAATTCCAAAAGTTTGGTATATCTGTATACTTAAGACCTATGTGCCTATGTGTTACCTGTCTAAGCAGAAATTACATTTATACTTCACTTCAGCTTATAAATATAGCTGGCTTGCAGTCAGATTAAATATTTGTGCGTGATGTAATAATAATAATAACCATCACAAGGGTAATATTATCTCATAAGTCTCCCAACACAATATACTGTTGTCATCGTCATTCCAATTTTTTTATGGGAATAGTCAATACACGCACGGTCAAGCAGCATGATATGGAACTGCCATATCTTTAGGTAAAATCCCGAATTCATGATGAGTATGAAATATAATAGCCAGTTTGACACGTGCGCACACATGCATTCGTGATGAATACTCTTATGGCAGCGAAGAATGTATAATCATGCCGCTATTTTGCTATTTCACTAACAAGTGTTACACGAATTAACACTTCCATTTTATGACTATATTTAAATTATGAATTATGAACGCGACGCGATGAACAAGAAATAGTGTCACACAAATCCCATGTGGCTGTTACATTAGACCCTTATTTTCCCGACTGTGCGTTTTTCCTGATTTCCTTTCATTCTACTAAACAATTACGTAATTTGAAGCTAACCTAACGCTCGCCCCATCTTACTGAAAATTTACCTGAACAAAAACACAACTCGGTTTTATCCAGATATCGTAGCTAGCAATTACATACATTCCAATACATGAACCTTGCGCGCGGTAGATTTTACGGTTAGCGTCTGTACACACGCTACGGTCGCTTATATCCTCACTGGGAAGGCCGAATTAAGAAACATTGATTACATGTACGCGGCAACTGCATTACACGGTAACTCTACTGTAGCCCTTTGCGTGCACACTGTACGACCTATAGGGCCACATGCGCTTATACATATGTAAATTTACACACACTACACACATACAAAACTCTCTTTATACAATACACAGTGCTATACAATAGTGTGTGCAATGCACACACGCATATGCGTAAAGCGGCCCATACACGTTCAATATCATTGACAATGACATTGGTACAGTATTATTGAAAAGAAATTCTGTTGGCCATGCACCAACGGCACAATAATATTGTAAAATATTATCGTCATTTGTGTTCTGATGCTGAAGGTGAACAGACATGGATTCTAGCGTTGCCCTTCCGCTGGCTTTTGCACTTGATAGGCCCAAGAGACAGCGCAGAAAAAGGAAATGGACCAAGAGATGGTTCATAGAACGAAGGATATTTGGCCACGATCAGCTGCTCGAGGAACTTCGTACACGAGCCAGATGATTATAGAAGATTGATCAGATTGATCCGATTCATCAGATTGATCAGATGGCCCTCAATTTAACCGAAATACATGCACCAAGATAACAGCAGTGGCTAAACGGTGAAATGTACACTTACTATTTGTCAACATTTACAAATTGTGTGTGAATATAGACAGATAACTCTTTGTTGTCTGACTCTAGAATGAATCTATTGCACAATATTCTGATTATGTCCCACCAACGTCACTTTCACCTTCAATAAATATCTACTGGGCTTTGATTCCGTCAAAATATTGCGCAAGTCAAAATTTCCCTTCAGTATTACCCACTAACGATTAATAATATTGTCAATTTTTATTACTGACAATATTATTGTCAATTATATTGATCGTGTATGGACCGCTTAACTAAACGTACCACGGTCCGTCTCCACACGCGCACGCAGGCACGCACGCACACACGCACGCACGCTCACGTATATGGTGTACGAACGAGGTCATACTACAAATATGCTTAAATGGACATAATTTGAGCTTAAAGGGACGTAAAAATTGCTTTAAATGGACCTAAATATGCTGATTTGGCTAAATAGGCGCAATTTCAAGCAGAATAAGTGCTGATTGATGCAAAACAACTGCTGATTGATACAAACAACATGTTCAAATAGCCTATATCAGCAGAATAAACGGCCATTCACGCTAAACAAATGTCCATTTCAGCAAATATGTCTCCCTCTTGCTGATATCAGCACCAACAAAGGTCCATTTCAGCATAAATGTCTCCCTTTTGCTGATATCAGCA